CTTCAGAATATCGGTCTCTTCGCTGCCTAGAATTCGTTTGGATTTTGCTGCCGCTACATTCTCCACGACTAAGATCAAGTACTGTTTGATGCTGGTTGGATTTTCCACTTGGAAGGGAGAAACGACGGTCTTAGAAAAACATCCCAATTGAGAAAAAGCAGGTCCTGTTGGGTAGTCCATTTTCTTTTTTTTAAAAAAAAGAAGACTAATTACTAAAAGAGAAACTAGCCATGAGTAATTTTGCGACTTCCATGAAAGCTCCTTCCTCATCTTCTTCTTCATCTTCTCGCCCATCTTCGTCTTCCTTTTCTAAAAGAACTCCGATGGCCTCTGCTGCTTCCTTCTCAAAGAGCGGAAGCGACAGCAGTGGCAGCCAACGCACTAAAGTCGTTTTTCAAAGGCTCAACCAATTCATCACAGTAAATCCCTCCTATGAGAACATGAGCTGGACTCAATTTTTAGATAAGCTTTATTCGTTCGTTGAAGAGCATTATGATGAAGAAATAGCTCAAGGGGTCAAAGACGCCTTTGAAAACGTGAGCTCTGAATCAGACATCGCTGAACTTGCAGGGACTGTCGGATTGATGTTTGACCCCAGTAAGTTGTCTAATAACGGTACGGAAGTTGTGGACTACCTCAAACAATTATTTGAGTACATGGACCTTCCAGTGCCCAAAATGTATCCTAACAGTGTGACAAAGACTGCTAGCAGCATCGGTAAATCTCTGTATGAAGAAAACAGTCGCAATTGGACGATCCTTCATTTATCCTTGAAATTAACCAGAGCTTCCGACTGGAAGCAGCTAACTTATCTTGCTATATCTGCAATGTTTGCTGCTTATGCACTGGAAACTGACAAATCATCTGCAAATGAGGCTTAAAGACACCACTTGTTTCTTGTACGTGGCATATTTAAGTCCAGTTAACACGTCACCGTTCGGACAGAGAACAACTACCGGAGAGCAGTGAGAATGAGGGCAAGGGTTTTGATAGGAGCTTTTTTTTGTCAAAGGCTCGATAAAGAACGTTTCTCCATTGAGTGAATAGACTTCCACTCCTCCAAATCCGCTTGAGTTCTCGAACGTCTGTGAATTATATGTTGTCATCAACAGCTGTTCTTCTTTTCCACCGGAGCATTGGACCTTATTATCTGTCAGCTTTGTGATGATTTCGTTGTTTGGGCACACAAATTGATATTCTTTCAAGGGGACGACATCTAGTTTGTTAGGAATAGACGCTGAAACTTCACTATATGCAGGCGGAAAAGACCAGTTCACTATGATCACGACAATGACAACGAGAGCCAAGACGACAGCAATCGTCACAAACAAAGAAATCCAGTAGAACGGAATTTTGTTTTCTCTTTCCGAATGGATGGTATTCCTGAATGGCAGTCTATCACCTCTAGCAAAATATGAGGCGTTCTGATCCATGTTCTAGCTATTTTTAATTAACTCAATACTAAAATGTCTCTGTCTGCTATTCCAACTGCCTACAAACCAACTGCCTCTTCTGGAATCGCTTCGTTTCTTCTTAATTTTCTTCGAGGAGACAGAAGTGGATTTCTAAGCTACAGAGGTTTTTTTACTGGCTTAGCAGTAAACGAAATTATTTTCTATTTAGCTAATTCTATCGTCGGTAACGGTCAACGAAGTTTCGCTTTGGTTATTGCTGTATTTGCAGGCTCAGTCTTGGGATGGTTGATTCGCTCCTTATTCTTCGAAATTTTGAAAAGTTGACAAATCATAGGAAACGTCACTGGAGGGCCAAAACACACTTGTTATATCAGTTCCTACCTCAGAGCTCGAACACGAAATGGGAACGTCGGAAGTCACAAAACAGGCGACTTTACTCTTCGCAGGAGAATTAGCACAAGGAGCTATGAACTCGCAGTTCGATAAAGCGCTAAAGCTAGCCGACATTTCGAAGGTTCCTACGTAAACGGACTCTATAATGTTGGAAATCTGGGCGACAGTGTTGATCTCGCCGTCGCTGTCGTTGGTGAATCCTCCTTCTTCAACTGTAATGACAGATTTCGGAGCGATTGTGAAGACAAATGCTAGACCGAAACCGACTGGAGTGAACAAAAGAGCTAACGGAATAGGTTTCGAAGTGTAGTCTCCAGACATGGGACTGGGGGCTCCCGTTAAGAAGAATGCTAGAGAATTTTCCACAATGTAAGTACCCCAATAGGCGTCTCCAAAAAAATATGGAGGAACTCCCAACTCATTCTGACCTCTATTGAAGGAGACCGAAATGGCGTTTGAAGTAGGATTTGTCAATGTCCATAAAATAATTCCACGAGACTGATCATACCAGTCTACTGAAATGCTTGCTCCATTTCTCGTCGTGCGTGGTCCATTGTAAATCAGCATAGCTCAATTTTTAAAACATGGACAAAAGCAGATCATGGGTTCTGTTTGCGGTTCTTGGATTGCTGATTGTCACAGGAATTGCAGTGTTGATTACCTCGCCTTCCTGGTCTCCTCCTTCTTCATCATATTATCGGGCCTACCCAGTGAAAAAAAATAACTAGAAATGTCATCTGAGAATGTTTCGGATTTCTTGTTGCACGCGGCACTTCAATCTTTTGAAACAAAAACTCTTCTCATTGATTTGACAGAAGATCTCAGAGCTTTATTTTGGATAATGGGTCCTCACTGCAATTGCGATATTGTGTTGCTCAAACGTTTTCTGTCTCATTGCACAACTATCGAAGATGCTGAAGCTCTTTCAAAAACTTGGACTCATCCTCTTTTTCCAAATGTAGTGTGCTCTACTAAGGAAGAATTAGGAAAAGACTTTCAAGGACCTGTTTTGGTGTGTCGAGATGATGTGGATGGCTCTTTTCCTAGAATTGGGAGACAAAAAACATGAATTGGCACCCGTTTGACATTTTCTTTATTTTTTCAGTAGCTTTCTTCTGTTTTTCGAGTTATTTGTTCTACTATCAGTATATAAATGCCAACAGTTGTTATTCAAATGACTATTTCTATTGCTGCAAGTCCTATAACTGCCCTGACGGAACTGACCCTTTGGCTAAAGCTACGAAAGCTGCACAAGAATGCATAGACGATCCTTCTGCTTGTTCCCAATACTTGTTCACAACGTGAATGAAAACAGGAGCAAAAGCAATCCAAAAGCAACGGAATAAGAACAAGTTGAAATGTACATTCTGCGACCCCTCGATATCAAAGTCAAAATAGCTAGCAACACTGCTACAATAGACGCAAAAGAAACCAACATTCCATTTAAAGTCAGGTCTTCAACTGCATCAATTCCGTGCGCTACAGCTTCTTCTAATTTCTTCTTAGTAGAAGAAGAAGGAGTAGACGAAGATG